CCCTCCTCCACCACAGCTGTGAACTCCTGCTTTACCTTGTCCGGAAGCCTGTCATTAAATTTTAAGATATTATCCCACAGACTAAAATCATACTGACCTGCTGCTTTTCAATTCTAACTACCGGCCACGTTGCCATTAGTGCAGCTCTCAGTACTACATAGCCAAGAGCTTTTTCTGGTTTAATCTACACCTGACACGTATGATGCAGCTCGTGAATTGTTTAACTTGGTACTTCAGGGATTGGTCTCAATAGGCCCATCCTAGGCTCCACAGTCAACGAACCCCCTTGGCTTGAGGACTGTCCCTGAATGCTGCTTCTTTGAGTGCATCTCTGTGTCCTTGCCTCCACTCGGTGCCTGCACTGAAGATTTTGAAGACTCCAGTACTGAGTCCTTAGGAGACTTATGTTGTCTCTTCTTCAGTACCAGCAACAACATCTGCCTCTCAACTCAGATCAGGAGGAGCACTCCTAACAGATGTGGATGTGCTTGTTATCTACTCCATACAGGAAGGCTCCGATGGTGGGGGGAGTGCAGACTCCATCAATAAATACTTTAGTATGGCTACCCTCTCTTTGACAGGGGTTTGATCCCTCCACAAATGTGACATTTGTCACTCACATGGCGCCTCCCCTAGACATTTAAGGCTGCTGGGTGTGGGTCACTCACTGGCATGGACTTGTTATATGAGTGACAGGACATGAAGCCTGGGGAACAAGGCATAAGTCCAGTACTGGTACCAAAACAGGAACTGGCAAATCCAAGCTACTAAGTACTAACCTAAACATATTCTTATATCTAAAACAATGTAAAAAAGGCTAAACTAGCCTAAAACTAACAGAACAAGTACCATTTACACTAAAGAGGACAGAACTTGTACATGCAAGGACAGCAGCTTCAACAACAGTGAATGGCAGTAGGAAGGAACTGAGGGGAGTCGGGGACAGCTCTGCCCTTTATACCTGCATACAGTGGTGCGAGAAAGCAGAGGGCACTCCTGCTGCTCCAATGGGCACTGCTGAGGGAACAATCTCCAACAACTGTGCACGAGATGCACACACACACACCTTCAGTGGAATGAACATGTGCAATCACTTGAAGTAATCTAATTTTTTACCATGTAATTAATGGCAGTTATCATAACAATCCACCACTATAGTTGTCAATAACCAGGTATTTGGTTAACAATCTTAGGAAATTACTCCATCTTATTCTGTCTCAAAACATTTCACAACCTGCTCAGCATTATGGCTACGAATTCTACTATTGAAGTGTTCAAATTTTTTGTGTGTTTCCCTTTCCCCTTAGAACTTGGCTGCACTGCATCACTGGAGCTGCTTCAAAATCTTTATGCAGGCAGAATAAATTATTTATAAGCGTCGATTGTTCATAGCTCAAAATAAACACTGCCTGCTACACAATGTTTTAATACGTTGTATTTGTGTACTGCTGTCTTCAATAGCAGCATGACCTCCAAAATTATAGCATGCAGAATTTTACGTATAATGGGCACCATTAAAGTATTTTTACCTTTTTCCTGCAATCTAAAAGATTACTAACTCTTCCACCCTTAGCATGAATAGTTCAATTGAAATCAATGGGATTACTCATACACAACGTTAGGCATATGTTTAAGTGTTTGCAGGATCAGGGCTTAACTGATTAATTATACAGAGGAAGCAGTGGGTACTGAGTGAATACAAAGTATTATCAATTGCACAAAGTAAACAGAAAGAAGAAAGAATTCTTCACATTATTTTCAGTTACCACAGTATAAAATATTACTTTAACAACAGTAGATACACAATTTCCAGACAGATGTGATTTTTTTTAGTTGACAGTTTCCCTTTAGTTAGCTTGTAATTCACCAATGACCAGTTTCTTGTCTCATCTCCGTAATGGCTCTCTGTGAAAGCTTCTATTTGTCTGGAGTGTTCTCAGGATAATGCATTAGCAGAGAAAGGCACCATGCCTCATTTGTGCCAAATATATAAGTGGAGCAACCATTCTAAACTCCTTTGGAGCTGGCTAAGGGCTTGTCTATACTTACCGGGGGATAGACAAGCGGCGATCGATGCATCGGCGGTCGATTTAGCGGGTCTAGTGAGGACCTGGTAAAACTAAATCAACCGCAGATCGCTCTCCTGACTCCTGTACTCTACTGGATCGAGAAGAGAAGGGGGAATTGGAATGTCTCCCGTCCACATCGCGTTGCATGGAGCCCCTGGTGAGTAGATCTAAGCTACGTCAATTTGAGTTATACTATTCACATAACTCAAATTGCGCAGCTTAGATCGAATTTCCCCTGTAGCGCAGACAAGGTCTGACAGAGGCAGGTTCTCCGCAAGTTTCTTTGCCTTGGTCTGCAAAACACCTGGTATAAGTCCCAAGTACAGCCTGGCAGTTATGCCAAGTGTGTAAGTGTTTTACTGTGTTTACACAATAGGAAACAAACAATTCCCCTGGTGTGTAAAGCATACTTGGAAAAATCATCATCTATTGCATTAACAAAAACTGCACCATCCAGCCAAGTTATTATGAATTTGATGTTTTCTAGCAATAATCCAGTTTTGCTGTTACATAGCCCCACATCTCTCAATCAAGACAGCATTATTTTTCACTGTATTCTTTCTGCATCACACAGAGTTCAAGGAATCCTAGGCTGAGAAAACTGGGACTGAATAAAAGGGCAATTTCCTCTAGGATTTAAGTGCTGATAATGAGTTATAAATAACAGAGAAAGTATATAGGAATGTAAGGCATGAAATTATTCATTTGGAGAGCAAGTGAGTTTGTCTCATTTCCTTCCTACCATGTTGTATTGGATGCTCCTCCCACTCATATAATCCAGAAAAAGAATGCCTTCTTCATCTGCTATGTGCATCATTCAAGTTATTAGAAATGTTGACTACCAAAGAATAGTAAACCCAAGCTAATTTCATTTCCAGATAACACCTACCTACACAGCTAACCAGGGCTAGTGGAATCATTTTATATGTTAAACAAAAAAAAATGGGAACATTGGGGCTTTTTGAACCATAGCCCATAGTGACTGGAAGAGAACTGGCATGATGTTGTATAAATGCATAAAGAGAAAATATAAATAAAAGTAAATGAAGACAGAGAAGAAAAATAAATGGATGATAGCAGGATACGGGAATTAATCCTAGCTTGTGCTAGTGCCACACAGGATATACACCTGAAATATGAACTTAGAAATAGGACAGATGCTTCACTATTGGACAAAGCAACAACCATAGAGCACAATATTTCACCAATTCTTGGAGTAAAAACAGGAAGGTTTTTTCCCTCATGTAATTATTACCTGAATGAGGAAAAATGTAACATATTGTAATTAGTAACTAAGGCCCCAATTCAGGAAAACATGCCTATTCAGGAAAGCACTTAAACATATGCTTAAGTCTCATTAACTTCATCCCTTAATTTCTTGAATAAGGATGATTTAATAATGTGCATAAGTGATTTCCTGAATCAGGCCCTCGGGGGTCTAATTCTGCAAACACTTACTACCTGGTGTAATGCGTACCATGTTAAAATGCAAGTTTGGACCTCAAATTGATATAATACTCTATAGCAGTGGTTCTCAAAGCCGGTCCGCCGCTTGTTCAGGGAAAGCCCCTGGCGGGCCGGGCCGGTTTGTTTACCTGCCGCATCCGCAGGTTCGACCAATCGCAGCTCCCATGGGCCGCGGCTCAGCGCTCCAGGCCAATGGGGGCTGCGGGCAGCGGCGCGGGCCGAGGGATGTGCTGGCTGCCTTTCCTGCAGCCCCCATTGGCCTGGAGCGGCGAATTGCGGCCAGTGGGAGCCGCAATCGGCCGAACCTGCGGACGCAGCAGGTGCTTTCCCTGAACAAGTGGCAGACCGGCTTTGAGAACCACTGCTCTATGTCATACTCATGTCTGATCTGGGATCTCTTTTAAAGAAGCATTTTTTTGCTTAGCTATCAAACAGTTTACATCCAAGACCATTTTTGCTTTAATTTGCTACCATTCTCCCCTGTATCTTTTATATTTGGCAGCTTATCATTCTACTTAAACATGATTAAATTGGTTAGAGAAATAATCCAACTCTTTTTGCAAGTGATTTCTCATTTAATTACAGAGCAGGTCTGTGTTGGACATTCTTCAGTGATCATCCTGGAAAAAATGTGTTAATTACAGTATTGCAATTAATTTGCTTAAACTGTACTAATGGCCTGATTTTCATAAATGTTGAGCATCCACAAATCTCACTGAAGACAATCACATTAGGCCTGAATAAAGATGGGGAGTGGTTGGCTCATTACAAAACCTAAACCTAATTTCTCCCATACTAATTTCCCCCTACTGTTACTCACACCTTCTTTTCAACTGTTTGAAATGGGCCACTCTCATTACCGCTACAAAAGTTATTTTTCCTCCCTTGGTATCCTACTGTTAATTGAATTGTCTCGTTAGACTGACCTCACACTTGGTAAGGCAACTCCCATCTTTTCATGCATTTATACCTGCTCCTGTATTTTCCACTCCATGCATCTGATGAAGTGGGTTATATCCCACAAAAGCTTATGCCCAAATAAATTTGTTAGTCTCTAAGGTGCCACAAGGACTCCTCTTTGTTTTTTTTAATAAGAACTACAGTGTTCAATACCTTTGAAAATAAGTCCTTAACTGTTTTGAAATACCAAGAAATCTTTGTAACAAGCACGCAAATATGTTTCCCACTAAATTATGTTACCACACAATGCATATTTTACATACTTACAGAAAATAAAATTTAAAAATTTAAAAGTCAAATAATGATTTCAAAACAACTTCCAAAATGATTTTATGACCATTATCTTTTAGCTATTATCCTACAACTTATTATTTGCTGTGTCTGCACAATAGCACGGCTTTATAAACATCTAAAACAAGTATAAAAATAATCCCAACACACTTTTCTTCTGATATCTATTTTATGTTTTTCACTTTTAAGTGATATTCATTAAAGGATTAATAATCACAAACAAACCCATCTGCTGTGGTACCACTGCTCTCCACATTCGTTACAAATAACGTAAGTCATCATTTGTTCATCTGGATTTGCATTTCGCACCCAACTAGGAAGGAAGAGAGTTCCCCTGGCAATCATAGTGACAGTGCAATCAAATTTTTCACAGCGCCTACATTTTATTTTGTCGGTCTGTGTGCCATCAATAACTTGGGGAAGCTGATGTTCCTGAACAGATGATTCTGTGTACAAAGCCCTGAGTTGTTTCAGTTCATCATTGGCCATTTCCATCACTGTCATCTCAGCAAAAGTCTTTGGACTCACAGTCCCTGAAAATAGGTTATGTTTTAAGTGGAAATTTTTAGGATTCTTCAAGTTAGAGACTTTGCTTCTGATACAATTTTTGTACTTTTTGTCATTTCTAGCATGAAGAGCAAAAATACGCTCTTCAATTTCTTTGGATAATTCTTGCCGCTTATTGGCTTCCTCTTTGCTTGTGGCAGAATCAGTCAAGGCTTTATAAATAAGTTCTGTGCATTTCAACCTCATGGCCTTCACATGTTCTTGCTGTGGGCTTATTTCACTGCCAGCAGGTTTAGTGTCTTCATTATCAGTGCGCTGTTCTTCTAAAAGACCCAGTTGATTCACACTGCTTTTTGGCTCATTATACACTTCATCTTTTGGAACGTTTTGTGATGTTAGCAAACTGTTAGAGCCAGCAGCATCTAACATTTCATGCTGATTCAGTTCTTCAGAAAACTCAGTTTGTTCTTGTGGACTCACACTGAAATATTCATTGTGCTCTTTCACACTCTCAGAAACTGACTTTTTACCTTGTATCGATGAAAGATAGTTATTCTTGTAAAGTATCTTCCACTTTGATAATAAATGCTTTGCTTTCTTTTTCAATGTTATTGCAGGACAGTTCTGGAGGACTCTGTACACAGCTTTGGCAACATCAGTCTCCTGAAGATATTCTATAGTCATATCAACAGCTTCAAGTTCTGTAAGGTGATTTCCAATATCTTGGAAACTGTTTTCAGAGAGTAGCTTCTCAATATAATGGGCTCTGTTCATAATTATTTTCTTATCAGACATTTTTAAACCTGAAAGAAAAGTAATAATAATAGCTTTCTCTATGGTCACGATGATTATATCATATATTTTTATTAATGTTCTGCAAACTTTCACAAGCTTTGTTATTGTACAATTTAATTTATTCTTAAATGTGCAAAAAACCTTACTTGCGCCACAGATGTCCTTATTTGCATATACATTATAGAAGTAGACACTAAAATAAGCTGAATATGTAGCCAGTTACATGCTCAGTCAAAGTTTTGAGACAACAGAGGGGCTTTGCACTGTATCCTAAATGTTAATAGACTCTGGTTCTATTAGTCAATTGGGAAAAACAAGGTCCAAAGCTCAGTGTTCACTACTGAGAATGCCCAGCCACGAGTCCTTTGGTGTTTAAAATCTAGATACTGTTAGAACAGTGGTTCCCAAACTGGGGTTCGTGAACCCCTGGGGGTTCATGAAATGTTACAGGGGGTTCTCAGGAAAAAATTCCCTAATGGCGGACAGAACTGTCCCTAGGGATCTTGGGCAGCACAGGGCCAGCAGCCCAGAGCTCCTGGACTTCCAAGAGCTAAGCAGCTCAAAACAAGCCTATCTGTCACACTGAGGAGATTTAAACTTCAAGACTCCTTATAAGAAATGGAAAGGGAGGTGGATATTTTTTGATATTTTTAAAATTAAATAGGCAGCTAATATTGTTTTTAAAATTATTATGAAGAACAAGTTTAAGCTTTGTTGTAACATGCGTTGTTTGCCTGGACTGCTCAAGACCTGAATGCTTGTGTAGGAGGAACTCTTTGAGTTGGTTTCTTAAATACCTTCATGCTGTTTCACATCTGATACTCCTTGATGAAACATAGGAGCCTTGTCTTATAACAGGCTTATTCAAAGTGATACAAGCTACGAAAGTGAGATCTTGGAAGAGTGTTGCCATTTTCATAATGTAATAAAAAAACTGTAATGATAAATAATAATTAATAATGAATAATGTGTAATAAACAGTGTCTCATAAAAACAAATTTTATATTACCAAGATCACTGCTTTTATAATTTATATTCAGGTAAAGGAGAAAATCCCTGGAAATATTCATTTTTTAGGAGGGGGTTCACGACACTTGACATTTTAGCGAAAGGGGTTCACAGATTCTTAAAGTTTGGGAACCACTGTGTTAGAAAGAGGGCTCGGGCTGAGAAAATTGTTACAATGACACAAATTGAAAACTCTTTTTTCTCATGCAGCCAGGACACAAACTGTTTAGGGCTTTATATAACAAAGTCAACCACTTGAATTTCACCAAGAAGCAAATAGGAAGTCAATGCAGTCTTCAGAGAATTGGCGTATTATTATCCAGTTTATATGTTTTGTCACTGATTTTGTATGCCTCAACTTTTGGGTTCCTCATTTGAGACCTCTTGGATCTGTTTTTCATAACTGCTGAGCACTCAGTTCCAACTGAACTCAATGGAAGCTGCAGATCGTCAGCATATCTAGACAAACAAGTGGAAGATGGACACCCAAAAGTGAATGACCATCTTAGAAGATTTTGATTTGTGGCTTATTTTTATTTGTTAAAATCAATCTTTGTCACCCCAGCCAGCCCTTTTCTTAGCACGAGTCTTCCATGAATGTTTACAAATTTGGCTTAATAAATTCCCAAATGTTTGGGTGTCTTAATATCTAATATAAAATCTTTTAACTAGCTTTAATAATTTTTATTGTAAAATAAAATATATCATCTTTCATATAATTTATCATAACAAATCACTTAATTAAATAGTTCCCGAATGTTGCCTTTTTGTTTATTGCATTTGTTTACCATGACAAAGCCATGATTTCCCCATTTCTGTTTGCCATTACATTATAACAAATCAGGTTCTGCATCTCACTTCCCTCTCCCTGCCCCCCCCCCCAAACAAAATAAAAAACCCAGGAGCCCATTTTTCTGTCAGTGGATGTCTAAATGTTATTGACATAAATGGGGATTATATATGCACATCCAGGAGAAACCATAAAATGTACAAAGGCTTTAGGAAACCTGTGCATTCACATTCTCCCCGTATGAAACTAGCTTGCAGTGCTTATATTAAAAAAGTTTTGCAGCAGAAAACTGAAATACGCATTGATTGCTTCTTCATATTAAGCTTCTCTTAGGCCTTGACTATGCAGAAAGATAAAATCACGTGGCTAACATGTGTGCACTGTGTGACCAAATCACATTTGCCCTGGGAAAATGAATTAATCCAGTATATGATTCAGAATGGATTTTTCAGGCAGCTGTTGTGGATCCAACAATTTTAATTTATATATATATATAATTTTTGACATTTGGGTTTTTTTTGGGTAGCTGTTAATAGTAAACAGATGAACAAATTTAATTGGGAGCTGCTACGTTAAATCCTGGGAGGCTAATAAAGAGAAATGGGACCAGACCAGTAAACGCCCACTGAGGTCATCTCCTCTGCCCTTTCCCCTATTAGTTCCAACATTCTACATCCCATAGCAAGTAAATATTTTATTTTACAAAGGTAAAGTAGGTTTCAGAATAGCAACTCTTATATTAGAAACTGTTATCTGTTCTTTTTGCAAGCTCTTTAGGGCAAAGACCTTTTTGTGTATTTTTCATACAGTACCTGGGACACTGACTGTGCTATACAAATAATGTTTTCACAGCATATGCACAGTTATATGGCCTAATGAAAAAGTAAAGGGCATTCAGGATGTCGATTCTTGTGATTGGACTGTTTTTAGATTTTCCTTATGCCTTTCTCATTATGCCCATGACAAAAATCAAAGCCCTCGGGACAGAAACAATATACAAATTTGTACAAAAGACCAGCAGTCCTAATACTTTTCTCCATTATTCCACTTTGATAAGCATAAATTAAGACTGGATGAAGTGTTCACTGAAGTGAATACTTGGCCTTGTAAACCAGTGTGACTGTGTCACTGTTTTCAGGGCTTGTCCCAGTCAATTTTTTTTTTAAACCAGTAATAGTGTTTTGTCACAGTTTTTGTATATCCTTTCTGACTCTGACCAGCTAAAGAAGTCATCGGCCAGCTGAGAAGTTGAGACTGATAACAGGTTGGCTAAGTGCTCACATATTAAGGAATACAGCATCACCAGGCCTGTCACATGTGTCACACAGCTTTGCCTTAGTCATGAAGGTTCCAAGCAGAAGTCTGGGCAGTGCAGTGAATGATGAGCTGACAGGCAGATCACATGATCTGCGCAGCCATATGCAGGTAATTACTAAGCTTGCCTAGTATGATTCATGCGTCTGACCAGCTTCCTTGCACCACAGGTGAGCAGAGGATTAAGGTAGGGCCTCTGGAACTGGGGTAGAATAAAGGACTAAGAATAAAAGGGAGATAGGGCTGCTGGTGCGCTGAGACACCTGCCTACATGCTGACCAATACTGTCTCATTGCTTCCTTGTCCTCCCCTGTTTGTCTGTATCTATTTGTTGTCTCTTGTCTTGTACTTAGATTGTAAGCTCTTTGGGGCAGGGACCATTTTTTGTTCTGTCTTTGCACAGCACCTAACACAATGCGGTCCTAGTCCATGACTAAGGCTCCTAGGTGCTACAGTATTTCAAATACTACTACTAAAATGAATAATTATGGTAGAGAGAGTGAGGGGAAGGTTAAAAGGGGAGAAAACTGAAGGATGCTGAAAAAGAGGCGAAATGACACAGGAAAAATGAGGAAAGAGAAGAATAGAAAACAAGAGCACAGAAAATATGAGGAAGAGGTGGAGTGGGCAGCACTTTTTGTCCTTTATCCCCCAGCTGCCAAAACCCTTGCTTCACACCTCCCTGACTGCCTCCAAAAACAATCCATAAACATTCCCAGACTGCCAGTCCCATGTTTTCACTTTGAAAATCTGCTCAGCATAACAGGCTGAATCCACTTTGAAGGCTCTTGTGATCTTAACTCATGACAATTTTCAAAGTCAGGGAAAACTGTTGGTACACATCCAGAATATACATCCACAGAAGAGTGGTTACAGACAGAAGTTAGAGAGGAGACAGCACAAGGGGGATGTTTACTGTATTGAATATACAGTTTTAAAAGTCCAGACAATCACCCACAGGGAACTCGATGTAAGAAAGAAAGGGGGCTATCTAAGCTATCTATTTTTGCAGAATTTAAGATGTCACTAAACTAAATGTTTCAATACATTATGGATGCAAAGATACACTTTCTGCATGTGAACTTAATGTAAATCTTCCAAATGTGAACTGAATGGAAAGCAATGCAATGTTATCTTTTTGAATTTGCAGATATCAATGCCTACAGTGAAATTAATATCAATTATTTATTACAGGGTCTGCCATGTTTCCCTAAGTGTGAACCACAGCCCAGCCTGACCTTCTTCCAAGCTGATTGACACTCTCTACTGGCATCCTAACCTGCCTCCAAAATGTCAAGCATGAATGGGTTTAAAGAGCTTTGTAAATCTTGGATGATTGGTATTAAAAATGAAAAATGCTACTTAAGTACAGTTTTAAAATATTTAGAAAGAAGCGAGATTGACAGGATACATTTTTCAGTTACATCTGTTGAATTGTATGCATAACAACATCCTCAGTCTCATTGTTTAGTTTAGAAATATACACAGTCTAGTACAGGGGTCTCAAAGTCCCGGCCTGCAGGCCATCTGTGGCCCGAGAACCTCCCCACTGCGGCCCGTGGAAACTTTTTTAAAAAGTTCTGTCATCCGGCCCTCATGGCTGCTGGCTGAGGGTGGTGGGGGAGGCAGGAGAGGAGCGTGCATGAGAGATTCACATGCCCCTTCCCCCAACGTTGCTCCATCCTGCTGCTTCTGGGACCCTCCCAGGGGTTGCACTCGGCAACGTGTCATCACCTCGGGCAGCTCAGCTCCCTGCAAGCGGTTCCCTATTCCTGCTGTTGCAGGCGGAGCTGCGGAGGAGAGACCTATGCAGCCAAACTGCCGGCTGTCTGCTGCAGGCACCGCCCCCTGCAGCTCCCCTTGGCTTGGGGAGAGGGACAGAGGTACCATAACTAGTTGCTGGGCAGAGTCAGCCATGGAGGCAGCATCTTTAGTTGCCAGGCAGAGTCAGCCATGGAGGCAGTATCACTAGTCGCTGGGCAGAGTCAGCCAGGGCAGCATGAGGCCAAGAGAGCAAGGGAAAAGGGTGGAAAACAGGCTGGGAGGTGGTATGAACACCATCTTCAGTGACATTATTGGCCCGCAGGGAGGATTTGAGGACTGGCACTGGCCCTAAGGTAAATTGAGCTTCAAACCCCTGGTCTAGTACAATGAGAAGGTTTGTTTAATTCTGAAAAACTAAAGGGATGGAAAAAATAACAGTATTCATTTCCAAAAATATCCTACATCCTGAATAACGACAAATACAGATCCAATCCAGCAAGTACTAGATTGCCTAACTAAAAGTTACACAATGAGAAAGCAGATGTATAACTAATCCTTGATTAGTTTCCTGTCTTCCAAAGATCAAGTAGTTGGTGTTGAAATAGGAAGAAAATCTGCTGGTTGTTATGGTTGGTCATGAGACACAGGGTGAAATTAGCTACAGTGTCATGCATAGGCGTGCACACAGGGTGTGCTGGGTATGCCCAGGCACACCCTAATGCAGGGGTGGGCAAATGGCTCCACTCTCCCAGCACGGCAAGCCACAGGGTCCGCGCTCCCAGGCCGGAGCGCCCGGCCAAACGCAGCAAGCCGCCGGTCCCTCCCCCGCCTTCCCCCGGAGCCCTGCCACCGCGCGCAGCGCTCTGGGGGCCGGGGCTGCGCGCTCCCGTGGGGCAGCGTTTGGCTCCGCGGTGAGGCAGCGCTCTGGGGGCCGGGGCTGCGCAGGGAGTCAGACACGCTCCCCCCTCCCCTGGAGCCGTGCTGCCGTGCGCAGCGCTCTGGGGGCTGGGGGCTCAGCGGGGAGTCAGACACGCTCCCCCCTCCCCATGAACCATGCCGCCGTGCGCGCAACGCTTTGGGGGCCGGGGCTGTGCACTCCCGCGGGGCAGTGTTTGGCTCCAAGGGGAGGCTAGGAGCCTCATCTCATGGTAAGGGGTCCGGGGCCAGGGGGGGTTGGATAAGGGGTGGGGGCAATCAGGGGACAGGGTGGGTTGGATGGGGCATGGGAGTCCCGGGGTCTCTCAGGGGGCGGGGGGGTGGATAGGAGTCAGGGCAGTCAGGGGACAGAGAGCAAGGAGGGTCCTGGGGGGGCAGTTAGTGGGGGGGTCCTCTGGAGGGGGTGGTCAGGGGACAAGGAACTGGGGGTGGGTTGGATGAGTCAGGAGTTCTGGGGGGGCGCTGTCAGGAGGCAGGGGTGTGGAGAGGGGTTGGGGGAGGCAAGGGGGGGGGATTGTATGGGTTGGGAGTTCAGGGGGTCCTGTCAGGGGGTGGGGAGCAGTTGGATAGGCGTGGGAGCCCAGAGGTCTGTCTGGGGGTGGGAGTGTAGATAAGGGTCGGGGCAGTCAGGGGACAGGTAGGGGGTAGGGTCCTAGGGGGGCAGTCAGGGGACAAGAAGCAGGGAGGCTTAGGTAGGGGGTGGAGTCCTGGGGGGCAGTTAGGGGCAGGGGTCCCAGGAGGGGGTAGTCAACTCAGGGGTCAAGGAGCAAGGGGGGTTGGGGGTTCTGAGGGGGGAAGTCAGGGGGCGGGAAGTAGGAGGGAGTGGATGGGGGCGGGACTAGGGCAGGGCTCCCTGGGTGCACACCCTAATGAAATGGGCTGCGCACGCCTATGGTGTCATGTGCTCATCCAGTATGCATTATACTGCACTTCGGGATAAGGCACTGGTTTGGCTAATACCCTCACCTCCAAACGAGATCTTTTCCAGCCCTTTTACAATGGTTACAAATGTGTGTGCACTGTTCCATGCCACATATAAATTCTATATCCATACCTTTTTTACACACACATGCAGTGGTTAAGTTACTTATGAGTTTTCTGAATCTCCCAAGCATGCATTAACTTTTTCAGGACTTGGCTCTAAATTACTAAAACCACACACGATTTAAACAACAGATACAGCCTATGTATGAATGAATATGCCATAACAAAAGATTAAATATGGACTACAAGTAAAATAAGTGTGTTGAACAACTAAATGAGCATTTATTATAATCTTAGAAAATTTACAGCTCAAGAGATAGGCTACTTACACTTAAAGCAAAATAGATGTGTTTACAGGAATTCTTTCCTCAGAGGTTGATGTATGCATTCAATGAATAGTAAAGACTCCAAACTGAGCAGTTCACACAGGATCTATGCACCAAAGCTAGATAAGAAAAACCACAACAGTTACAGCAGTTATCAAAATATGTGCACAAAGATGTTAATAGACCCTATCATGGCCCCAGAAGAATTAATGTCTAAAGTTGCTCTGTCATCATCAGCAAACAATTTATCTGGGCTCTTAATCAAGTTATTAAAGATTAGGGTGACCAGACAGTAAATGTGAAAAATCGGGACCTTGGGTGGTGGTGGGGGGGGGGGGAAATAGAAGCCTATATAAGAAAAAGACCCAAAAATCAGGGCTGTCCCTATAAAATCGGGACATCTGGTCACCCTAATTAAGATATATTTAGGGCCCTACCAAATTCATGGTCCTTTTTTGTCAATTTCAGGGTCACAGAATTTTAAAAATTGTAAATTTCATGATTTCAGCTATTTAAATCTGAAATTTCATGGTGTTGTAATTGTAGGGATCTTAAACCAAAAAGGAGGTGTGGGGGGGGGAAGGAGGGGTCGCAAGGTTATTGTAGGGGGGTTGTGGTACCGCTACCCTTACTTCTGCACTGCTGCTGGTGCTGACTTCAGAACTGGGCAGCCGGAGATCGGTGGCTGCTGGCCGGGAGCCCAGCTCTGAAGGCAGAGCTGCCACCAGCAGCAGCACAGAAGAAAGGATGGCATGGTATGGTATTGCCACCCTTACTTCTGTCCTGCTGCTGGCGGGGCACCATCTTCAAAGCTGTGCACCTGGCCAACAGTCGCCGCTCTCTGGCCACCCAACTCTGAAGGCAGCGCAGAAGTAAGGGTGGCAATACTGCGACCTTCCTAAAATAATCTTGCAACCCCCCCCCCCCCCCCCCCCGCAACCCTCTTTTGGGTCAGGACCCCCAGCTTGAGAAATGCTGGTCTCCCCCATAAAATCTGTATAGTATAGGGTAAAAGTACACAAAAGACCAGATTTCACAGTCCGTGATGCGTTTTTCATGGTCGTGAATTTGGTAGGGCCCTAGATATATTCCAGCAAAAAATCCCTAAAATGAAAACAGCCACTTTGTGTAAATGACAAAGGACAATCAGTGTATATCACTCACTCTCTCTCTCTCACACACACACACACAAAGACACCTTTAGTCATTTTGATTGTTAATTTCTTATACCACTATGTCTGGTTTGCCAATTAAACTAATGTTGTTAAAGGCCAACTGTTTTTGGTTTAACATGCTGTACACTGAGTTTTGGTAAATTTTAAAATGTTCACCACTCAGAATTAAACAATGTTTTAAATTACATCTGCAAGTAAACAGTAATATCCTACCACTATAGACATTTATGACAAAATATTTTTAAAAGACCAAAAGCTCCCCAAAATCAGAAAATCAATGGGAGATATCAAAACAATAACCCCAAAATGCTCAACCATGCACAGTATCAGCCTTATTGTGTCCCTTCCACTCAAAAAAAAGAGAGGGGCCCTACAGCATGTCCTGAAGGTCAACAAAACTGGGTGTTTCAGGCCAACAAGGTGGAATGAATTCCAAAGTTCGCTTTCACTTTGGTTGTAACAGGTCATCTGTAAACCATGGTGACCTGTGAGAATGAAGATGGGGAAGAGAAAGCCTAGAGACTATTTTATCAGTAATCAGGACAGAAGACAGGATAAAGTCCTATCCTCACATTAACAGAGTTAGCTGATGAAGTAGCAATATACTCCCTCAGAGCCCTCTAGAAACAGTGGTTATGCTGGCCTCCAAGAGTGAATGTCTAAACCAATCTCCCACTCAAAAGAAGTGCACCCCCACCTTGGATCATAGGAGGTAATGAGTGGTCTATGATGTAGGTATATTTCTAAATGCCCTATCTTCCATCCCAGCACAAACAAAAGATCAAGCATGATGAAGACCATGAAACCTTGAGCTGTTCCAGAAGAATTGTGTATTTTTTTCATATAAAAACTTAAAAATGGGTGTGTTGTCGTTCAAAGTCATTAGGGGTCCACAGCACTTTTAAAAACAGTGGGGGTTTACTGTAGTATTTTGACCAAATTCACTTCCCAGCCATTAGCATGCAGAGATGTGCATATCTGCTGCTCTCTGTCCCAGAGTTGGAAGCATTTCAGCAGTGCTGTATGTGTGTATTTAGTTTGTGACGGGCTTTAAGATCCTTCAGGATTAAAAGTAATATACACATATAAAATACAAAAATCTTACTCTAATTTTTGAGCCAGTGTTTTATTAAAAGGCAACGTGAAAAGAACATGAGTGGCATTAGCACAATTACTGCTCTATAAACCAAGCCCAGACTCTGGAATTCAAACTCTGGGGTGGATAGAAGAGAGTTATAATGTCAAATCCTTTGTCCCAGCTCACACAATAGCAAACACAGAGCTGTGTGCTAACCAATGTAAGACACACTCATGGTAGCTATAAAACTCTACAAGTTACTGGAGGTTTTGTCCAAAAAGGTTATTTTTGTGTATTTGGAGGGGTGGGAGGTAGAGTTGTTCTTCAAAAGAAGAGTCAGGGGATTCTGCCCCTGAACCTTCCAATCTTGGAATACCCAGAGTCTAAGGCAGTGGTCACCAACCGGTTGATCGCGATCAACTAGTCGAACCTGGAGGATCTCCCAGTCAATCGCGATCTCCAGCTGTGCAGCGGGGCTACTGCTAAGACAGGCTCCCTGCCTGTCCTGGCCCTACGCCGCTCCTGGAAGTGGCCAGCACAGCCCCGTGGGTGGGGGGGCAGGGGTCTTCCTCCACACGCTGCTCCTGCCTGTAAGCACCACCCCCACAGCTCCCATTGACCAGGAATGGGAAGCTGTGGCCAATGGCAGCTGCGGGGACGGTGCTTGCAGAGAGGGGCAGCATGCGGAGCCATACGTCGCCCGCTCCCTGCCCAGGGACTGCAGGGGCGCGTTGGCGCTTTCCAGGAGTGGCGTGGGGCCGAGGTAGGCAGGGAGCCTGCTTTATTGGCAGCCACGCTGCGCTGTCGACCAAGAGTCTGATTTGTCTTGAGTACCCCATGTTTCACTTCACTTACAAACTACTTGCTTACAAAATCAGACATAAAAATATAAAAGTGTCACAGCAGACTATTACTGAAAAACTGCTTACTTTCTCATTTTTACCATATAATTATAAAATAAATCAATTGGAATATAAATATTGTACTTACATTTCAGTGTATAGTATAAAGAGCAGTATAAACAAGTCATTGTCTGTATGAAATTTTAGTTTGTACTGACTTTGCTAGTGCTTTTTACATAGCCTGTTGTAAAACTAGGCAAATATCTAGATGAGTTGATGTACTTCCTGAAAGACCTCTGCATGCCCCCTGTGGTACGCATACCTCTGGTTGAGAACCACTGCTTTACAGAATGCGATCAGCAATTTTAAAATGCAGGATTTAATTTTTTTTACCACCAGAGGGGGCTGTAGTACAACTAACCCAAGACATCTTGATTTTTTTTTCCCCCTTAAGTGTACACTGTATTTACTATGGGTGCATTCCATGACATAGAGTGTACTCACTCTGGATTATTATAACTGTACCAGCATACAATATTACTGCTTTTTTCCTTTGGTGGGTCTCTACCTTAAACGGTCAGTTTTTTAAAAGCCCAAGCAACAGATGAGCCAAACAAAATCATAGTCCCTAAAGTGTGCAGAGGATGCATGGCTTAATTCAGCATAATTTTGTAATACTGACATTATTCTGCTGCATGTAAAAGAAGAAAAGTAGCAGAATCCACTGTTTGCTGTTGATTGTCTGTTTTGAAATTTTAAGTATAGTTAAAAACACCAACAAACAAACAGTCTTTCAGGAAAAAAACGTAGTAATCATTACAGAAGCTACAGTGAAACTAGACAACATTTCAATCCATTTATTCAAGTACTTATAATTCTATTTTCAGGTCAGGGAAAACAATGGTAAATTTGGAGCAAAGAAAGTCAGGCTGTATGCACAGCATTTTAATGTCAACTTTTGTTAGACAAGAGGCAGCATGATCTAATGGACTGAGAACATTTAGGCCTGGAGGAGTACTCCAACCTGAATGAGCCACACCTTAAATGGTGAGCGGGTAGCTTCTAGCACTTATGATTATGAAGGTTACCTTCCAATCCTGAACAGAGTGTAAACTGATATAATACTGCCTTCTTAGGTCTGCAGGCAAACAGCTCCAATGCCTCTGCTGCAGCAATGTGTGCAGTAGTCAGTGTCATGTCAGTCTTCACTGCTACTATTCAGAATTTTCTGGGAAGCACAAAACTAGGGTTACCATACGTCCGGATTTTCCCGGATATGTCCGGATTTTTGGGATTCAAATCCCCGTCCGGGGGGAAATCCCAAAAAGCCGAACATGTCCGGGAAAATCCAGCGCCGCTGGGCCGGGGGCCGGGCC